ATATATATATTTATTATTGACCATTTTATTTATTATTTCGTACCTTCAGACATAGACAATAATTAATTTTTTTGATATAATATACTACTGAAAATTTATTTTATTATAGAATAATATTGCAATTTAGCAGCAAGGACTCTGGTCCAAGTTTTGAGTCAATACCAATAAATGGACGGTTCAGATTGCGAGATCAAATGGTCTACTATTTGTCCAGCAATGCACTGCAGCCATAAATGAACAACCAAACACTTCCTTGACGGCCTTTCATCTCACATGTTTTTGGAATCTTACATTGACGTACGTCTCTAACTTGTCTCTCGCTTGTCCAAACCATACCTAAATACAAAGATTAACGCTAGAAGAATTTAAAAATTATATTTAAAATTTAAATTTAATAATTTTGATCATTGATATTACAGTAGATTCTATCATTTATTTAGACGTATTATCTGTCTAATTTTAAATTTATCTAACATTACTTGATAAGCCGTGAACTAGATTAAAGCGACAATTTTTTAATTTTCAGCACAATACGTTTTCGATTCTTCTTCCTTTTCCCATTCTCTGTTGCCTCTGTTTGTCGAAAAATCATTTAAAGAGAGACCCTCTCTCTCTCTCTCTCTCTCTAGAGAAGGGTGCTGTGAGATGGCGAAGNTCGAAAAATCATTTAAAGAGAGACCCTCTCTCTCTCTCTCTCTCTCTAGAGAAGGGTGCTGTGAGATGGCGAAGAAGAGAGATGGAAGGGAGGGGGGTATGCACTGGGATGGGGTGATAGAGGGCATGCCTGTGTTTGTGAAGGAGCTGATTGCTGGNATTTCGGTTGGAAGACTAACTTGGGATCCGTTCGGTTTGACCAACAATTTGAACCACACCAAATAATTTTTTTTCAAAAAAAATTATATTTTTTTAATCCAAATTCTCTATGGTCGTTGCGAGACAGACGAGCGTGCATGAATAGTAACCACTATTTTTTTATAATATCTGCGTATCATACAAATTCAACACTAGCAAATTTACATTCCATTCTTTTGAGTTGTACCATAGAACATAGGAAGATTCGGTATCTTTTAACGAATAAATTCCTTTTGGTACCATATGTCACAGATTTGACTCCTTTTGATTGTTACGCCACGGGATCCAATACACGTTTTATATAAGAAAAGTGTAAGATCATTTCTTCTTTTTAAAATGTGAATCTTTGATTTTTGCACAATAAATGAATTGGAAAGAAATCTTTTCTGTGGTAAACTTGTGTTCGTCGAGAAAATGATAGATCCCGCAAGAATTAATAGGTTAAGAGGGTCAAAGGGACCCTAAGGAATTGTGATGAATTACTTCATAGGCTGTCTTATCGATTCTGACCGGTTGTTGACTGTTCCTGGCAAACAAAAAATCAATTAGAAGGGTGTCGGAGTGTTTTTCGGTGTATCCCTTCTAACGATCAAATCAATACTTTGAAAGAAGGGAAGAAGAAAACATTGTATAATGCTTGAATAGTAATTTTGCGTACATTTTTAATGTGTTTTTTAGAACTATTTATACCTTCAAAAACTCATCATTATTGATGGTCTAGACAATAAGTAGCGTCCATAAATGGGGCAATGTGCCTCCTATTTCGCATGGGGATCCCCTAATATTAATTGATCGGGATGCCAAACACTTAATATTTTTTCCTCAATACAGGGACATTAAATGCTCAGGCCCTGGATCATTTAATGTTTTTCCTCCTCAATTCCCAAAATTACTGTGGATGTCCCATCATGTGAGGATTTATTAAATGGTTGTCTGAAACAATTGTATGTCAACAAGGGTACTTTTGACATTTTACCCTAACTCTACACTCTATGCCATGTACCTAACTCTCCTTGGCTGAGTGTCTTGCTTATTCTGCCATCCTGGCCTCATTGTGCAGAGCACCCTCATGATTCCTAGCCTAGTTAAGATTGCTCAGTGGATGTTTCATCATGTGAGAATTCCTTAAATATTTGTTTGAAACAACCATATGTCACTAGGGGGTATTTTTTGTCTTTTTACCCCTAACTCTGCACTCTATGTCACTTGTCTAACTCTCCTTGACTGAGTGTCTTGCTTATCCTGCCATCCTGGCCTCATCGTGCAGAGCACCCTCACGATTCCTGGCCTAGTTGAGACTACTCAGTGGATGTTCCATCATGTAAGGATTCATTAAATATTTGTTTGAAACAACCGTATATCAATAGGGGTACTTTTGTCTTTTAACACCTAACTCTGTACTCTATGCCACGTGTCTAACTCTCTTTAGCTGAGTGTCTTTGCTTATCCTGCCATCCTGACCTAATCGTGCAGAGCACCTCATAATTCCTATGCTCAGCTGTCAATCATTAACTTTTTTAGAAGCAGGAGATACGTGGCAAGACCAAAGCTAAGTACTTATGGAGCCGATAACACGTGCCTGCCTTGGGGTGGAGGTATCTTCGGAGTCGAGGGATACGTGACTGCCAAAAAAAGGGGAATACCTCGGCGCTGAGGAGTGTGTCTTTGTAAGAGCAGAGGACGAGGGACATGGCGCCGAGGACACGTGGCATTGTCAGAGATAAAGAATGTCTCAAAGCAAGGACACGTGTCGTCGATTCACTCCCTTTTTAAAAGTGTCCCATCAATATCTATTTTCCATAATGCAAATTACATGTTATATTTTCATTGAAGAACGAGTAAAAATGCATCTTACCTCTGAATCTGATGATCGAATGTGTCTCATGTACACGGATTTTGGGGTCACTTGTCAAATTATAATTGTCATTCAAGACAACATTGATTCCAGTTGGATGGACGATAGGAATGAGAGATTAAAAATAAATGGGGAAATCACTAATAATGACTTATTTTTCTCTATTGAAATCTCTTTAAATTTTACTTTAAAATTAATCTGGTGACTAATATTAACACCCTAAAATTAGTAGAAAAAATAAGTCCTTAAATGTGTGTTTGAGGTAACTTTTTAAAAGTGTTTTTAACATTTATAATTTCTCATAAGTGCTTTAAAAAAAATTGTGTTTAAAATCGTCTCACTACCACCAATCTAACTATCTCACCATTACCACTACCGCCATCGTCGTCATTATCCCATTACCAGATTGGCCATAACAACTGTCGTTGTCACCACCACCACCACCATCTGCCCCACTGTCCCACAATCACCTCTACCACCCCTACCCCCACCTCCATCACCACTACCACCATCATGATCTCATTCTTACATGTATTATCACTATTATCATCATTCCACTATCACTGTTGCCCACCGTTATCCATCATTATCTGTCGTCGACCACTTCCGCCCCCAGCCATTGTCATCTATCCCCACCACACCTACCATTACCATCTGTCATCGTCCATCATTGTCACCTAGCACTGTTGTCCACCCCCTACCACACTTACCATCACCTATCACATTATCGCCCACAAGCATCCGTCGTCACCCCACCACCACTGTCGTCATCTCACACCCACCAGTACTATCGCTGTCATTCATAACTGTCACTAGAACTATCATTACCCAAAATTTACCACCACTATTACCGTTGTCACCCACGGCTACCATCATCACTACGGTCGTCGTCACTCACCATAATCATCACTGTCTCCTACTACCATAATTACCACCGCTCACTTCCTATTATAATCAGTGCTTAAATTTATTTATTTATTTTTTTATATTTTATGATTTAATTTTGTGTATGAATATATATATATATATTTATTATTGACCATTTTATTTATTATTTCGTACCTTCAGACATAGACAATAATTAATTTTTTTGATATAATATACTACTGAAAATTTATTTTATTATAGAATAATATTGCAATTTAGCAGCAAGGACTCTGGTCCAAGTTTTGAGTCAATACCAATAAATGGACGGTTCAGATTGCGAGATCAAATGGTCTACTATTTGTCCAGCAATGCACTGCAGCCATAAATGAACAACCAAACACTTCCTTGACGGCCTTTCATCTCACATGTTTTTGGAATCTTACATTGACGTACGTCTCTNACACTATCGCCCACAAGCATCCGTCGTCACCCCACCACCACTGTCGTCATCTCACACCCACCAGTACTATCGCTGTCATTCATAACTGTCACTACAACTATCATTACCCAAAATTTACCACCACTATTACCGTTGTCACCCACGGCTACCATCATCACTACGGTCGTCGTCACTCACCATAATCATCACTGTCTCCTACTACCATAATTACCACCGCTCACTTCCTATTATAATCAGTGCTTAAATTTATTTATTTATTTTTTATATTTTATGATTTAATTTTGTGTATGAATATATATATATATTTATTATTGACCATTTTATTTATTATTTTGTACCTTCAGACACAGACAATAACTAATTTTTTTGATATAATATACTACTGAAAGTTTATTTTATTATAGAATAATATTGCAATTTAGCAGCAAGGACTCTGGTCCAAGTTTTGAGTCAATACCAATAAATGGACGGTTCAGATTGCGAGATCAAATGGTCTACTATTTGTCCAGCAATGCACTGCAGCCATAAATGAACAACCAAACACTTCCTTGACGGCCTTTCATCTCACATGTTTTTGGAATCTTACATTGACGTACGTCTCTGACTTGTCTCTTGCTTGTCCAAACCATACCTAAATACAAAGAGTAACGCTAGATAAAGAGTACCGCTAGAAGAATTTAAAAAATATATTTAAAATTTAAATTTAATAATTTTGATCATTGATATTACTATAGATTTTATCATTTATTTAGACGTATTACCTCTCTAATTTTTAAATTTATCTAACATTTTTTAATAACCCGTGAGCTAGATTAAAGCGACAATTTTTTAATTTTCAGCACAATACGTTTTCGATTCTTCTTCCTTTTCCCATTCTCTGTTGCCTCTGTTTGTTGAAAAATCATTTAAAGAGAGACCCTCTCTCTCTCTCTCTCTCTCTCTCTCTCTAGAGAAGGGTGCTGTGAGATGGCGAAGAAGAGAGATGGAAGGGAGGGGGGTATGTACTGGGATGGGGTGATAGAGGGCATGCCTGTGTTTGTGAAGGAGCTGATTGCTNGAAGAGAGATGGAAGGGAGGGGGGTATGTTGACCCTACCCCACTATCTCCCGTACGGACACAAACACTTCCTCGACTAACGACCGGGTGTGGCTGGTGGGTTTGCAAAGACAGTTGTGGCTCCTCTTGAGCGTGTGAAGATCTTGTTTCAGGTACAAGTATAATAAATACTTTTCTGTCCTGTTTTAATTACGGTTCTTAATTGGGTAATATAACTCAGTAGTTCTGTGTTTTCCTTTTTGCCCTAATTGAGGATCATTTGGCTTTACCTTCACTGATTTTAGATTGTGAGTTTATGAATGACATGTGGAATTAGTGAAAAAAGATTGCCTTTAAACTAAACCTCGAGTCTTTCTTGATGTTCTTGATTTCTAATTGGGAGAGACTAAGTTGATTTGTTCATTTCTGACATGATTTGAGCATCTTCTCTTACAATATTGGCCTTAGTTGATTGTATACCAGAAATTTAGGAAGATGGAAACCTATGACATTGTCAGAAAGAAATTCATTATCATGTTTTTCTTTTTCCTATCTATTGCTAGACCAGAAGAGCAGAATTTCAAAGTATTGGGCTGTTGGGATCATTCAACAAGATTGTGAAAACAGAAGGGGTTCTGGGTTTTTACAGGTGGAATTTTGAAATGTCGTCTTTATTCGTTTTTCCGGGCATATTTGTTCAGATAAAGGTTGCATTTTATTGTTTGTTTCTTGTTTTTCTCTGAAGTTTATATGCATTTGCTGGGATTTGTATTCAGAGGGAATGGAGCTAGCATTGCTCGTATTGTTCCTTATGCAGCATTGCATTATATGGCGTATGAACAGTACCGGAGATTGATTATACATGGTTTTCCTGGCATTGGGGGAGGTCCCATCCTTGATCTAGTTGCAGGATCATTTTCTGGAGGAACAGCTGTGCTTTTTACTTATCCCCTTGATTTAGTTCGGACTAAATTAGCTTATCAGGTAAATAACTGAGAATGTGTAGTTAAGTTCTTTTCTTCCTCTTAATTCAAGCCCATGCAAGAAGATTTTGATTGTCATTTTAGTTCGGTCCTGATATCATATCTCGTGTGTTTATATTCAATTTGAGAATTTGGTTCCTCCTCGTGTTTCCGGTGAATTAAGTACTAATATGTAGATAGTGCTTCAGGTAGTGGGATCTACAAAATTGAATGTTAAAGGGATTCTTCCTTCTGAACAAGTTTATAAAGGAATTTTGGATTGCTTCTGCAAGACATATAAAGAGGCTGGGGTAAGAGGCCTCTACCGTGGTGTGGGTATGTTGTGGTATTCCTATCGTTTTGCTCTGATCCTGGCAAGGCCTTCTTATTTAACACGTGGACGAATTTTTCAGCTCCATCGCTCTATGGAATCTTTCCATATGCTGGTTTGAAATTTTATTTCTACGAGGAAATGAAAAGCCATGTCCCCGATGGCCACAAGAAGGATATCGCAGTGAAACTTGCATGTGGATCCATAGCAGGTTTGCTGGGTCAGACTTTCACGTACCCTCTTGATGTTGTTAGGCGGCAAATGCAGGTAGTTTACTTAAACTTAAAAGTCCAAGAAATTTGTTTACCTGTGTCTATAACTGAGAACTTAGAAGGATGAAGAGTAATGTAATGTACCTCGGCAGGTCCAGCGACTCTCAGCATCTAACAGTGGGGACATGAAAGGAACAATGGAAACTCTTGTTATGATTGTCCAACAGCAAGGATGGAAGCAATTATTTTCAGGGCTGACCATCAACTATTTGAAGGTGTGGATAAACTGTTTTACTCCTTGGGATTATTCCTCGTGATCGTTGTAGGTAATAATTTCTGGCATGGATATGTGTTAAACTTCAGGTTGTACCATCAGTTGCAATTGGGTTTACTGTTTATGATGCTATGAAATCATTCCTCGGAGTCCCAACCCGAGAAGAGGCTGATATAGAAGTTGTGACCAACCGAAAAAATAGCCAACCATCATCCCTGCAATCTTAGAAACAATTCACCTTTTCAAACTCAGTAAGTCATTTCTAACAATGATAATGATCTTTGCATTGCCTTCTTGATTTGTTGAAGGCTGGCTCCTATTTGAGGCCATTTAAATTTGTACATTCCATTCTTTTGCGCTATACCATAGGACATAGGTAGATTTGATATTTTTCTCGAATAAATCCCTTAAGGTACCAAAGGTCACTGATTCGACGCCCTTTGATGGTTATGTGATTGGATCCACACACATTGTACATAAATATAGTGTAAGATCATTTCGGGATGTATATATGATTTCGTTTAAAATATATTAATGTTCTGTTCTTGAAATCTATTTTGAAATAGCAGAATTACATCTTATCTTTTTACCCAAAAAAAAGGTAAAAAAAAAAAAAAGAATTGCATCTTATCTCTGATGATTGAATGTGTCTCATGTACGTAACAGTGTTGCACTGAGTTTTGGATACTTGTCAAAGTATAACCATCATTGGCAAGTCGACATTGATCCCAGTTTGGATGTATGGAAGGAACAAGAGACAGCAGCAATATTGTTCCTAGAGCACACAATATATGATAAATTTTAGTTCAGTTGTTACTTAGGCTAAGACCCTCTTTGGGGCTAGAATAATCTATCTGTATACAAGGATAAAACTCTGTAAATTTGATTATCCTCAATCCCATAGGAGCCGGTGTGCAACATTAGACTGCTCTTTTTATTGCCCCTGTGGAGATTTGTACTCCTCAATAGTCACCAACACACTACCTTGTCTATGAATGCAAGGATAGAGTCTCACTAGCCCCCATCCTTATAGTTACTGCGGCCAAAAAAGAAAAGAAAAGAAAAGATAGTCACTAGCCCCATTTGTGCCACTCAAGCATATTACTCTTTAGCCTCAGACAATTTCTTTGGCAATGATAAAGGAACCTCGTTAGAAATTCTTAACATAATAATACCTACTATGTTGATCCTAATCCCCTTATATATTGTTGTCCCTGGTTTTTTCTCTCTGTGATAAAGATGACTACGAAGAGTAGAAGAAAAATATCGAAAAGAGTAATGTTATACTTTAAATTGTATCACATCATTTGGAATGACAAGCTTAGTAAGAAATCTTAATCAGCAAAACTGTTATATCAAAAAAAAAAGTATTATATTATATACCAGTGTAAATGTATAGGTACATGTGGGTAGCACCTCTATCCCTAAGCATATACGTCTGTACCAACATACCAGAAGCAGGATGGCCTTAAAATAATTACAACCACCTTCACAGGCATACATAATAATATCTACAATTCCAAATTTCCAAAATAATCAAATTCAAATCATATCACATAATCAGGAAAATTCTGATCCATAGACACCGCAGGTTCGTCCTCAACCTCTACCAGCTTCGGCCTTCCTCCCACCAACCTCGCTGGATTTCCCACCGCCGTAGTCCTTGGTGGCACATTAATCAAAACCACTGCCCCGGCACCGATCTTTGCGCCCTTACCAATCTTCACATTGCCCAAAATTGTCGCTCCCGCACCAATTAGCACTCCATCGCCAATCTTTGGGTGTCGGTCACCTCCGGCCTTGCCCGTACCACCTAATGTCACCTGGTGGAGAATGGAGACATTATCGCCAATGACCGCAGTCTCACCCACAACCACTCCAGTTGCATGGTCGAAGAGAATGCCTTTGCCAATTTTTGCTGCTGGGTGAATATCAGCGCCAAACACATCTGAGACTCGGGATTGGAGTGCAAAAGCTAATGATCTTCGAGACTCTGTCCAAAGCTTGTGTGACACTCGGTGTGCCTGATGTATTATTACAAAGGATTGTTAATCTGAGTATTCAAGATGACTCCAAAAAATTACCAAAATTCGAAGATCTCTAGCCTTAAACTACCTTTTCAGATTTTCATCAAATACTTCGTCTAATTGAGATATTCACCAGATTTTATAAACAATACTGGCAACAGAATCAAACACCAAATGTTGATTTTATGAAACATTTCACAATATCTTGCTAAAATTAATGTAATTAAATATCAATTTCCATCAAAATTAGTAAATTTATCTCACCTGACAAGCAAGAAACCCCTTATAATTAAGCAAGCAGTGGGAGAAAGAAATACACGCCGGGTCACGCAACTTCACGGCTCGAAGGTCGGCCACGATGGCGGACCGGAGAGCCGCGTCGTTAGATAAGGTGTCGAGGAAGATATCGTAGAGCTGCGTTGACTGGAGCGTTGATGAGCTCAGCTTGTTCCCAAGGTGGAAGGCTAGAGATCTCTCGAGAGAGGAGTGAGAGAGGATCGTAGAGTAGAGGTAGCTCGCGAGAGCTGGTTCGTCGTCGGCGTCTCGTCGAGCCTCCGCTCTGATTTGCCTCCACACCAAAGCCTCTTCTTCGGAGGAGGTGGTGGTGGTGGGTGGTGGGGATGTGTAGCCGAGATCTCCGGATGGCATCGAATTGGGCAACAAGAAGGGGAGGAGAAGTGTGTCAATCGTCGTCTTCTAATCGATGGTCGGAGAGAGAAAAAGAGAGAGAGAAATGGTTTCAGTGTAATGCAAAGTTGTGGGAGGACATTGCGAAAGGGTAAGGTGGTGTATTTATAGCCGTCGATTATGTGGAAGTTGACGAGATTGCTTACAGAGGAAGGTGTTGCTGCCCAGGTGTTGCCAACTCAGCTTTTTGATGACGTGGCAATCCGCCGACTTTTCCGAAAAAGTCAATGTAAGCCCATGCCTAGGATCTTCTTTGTTAATGTTTATAAATAATTACATTAAAACCTTCTATGTTGTCCATAATCGTAAAGAAGAGCTTGTAGATTGTAAAATTGTGTTATACTCCCCCTAGGTTGCGTTCTATTTCACTTTATACTATGATACACATTGATTCTTTGATTAAAAAAATCAAGTACTTATTTTTCTTGTATTAAACATAAAAAAATCGCTCTTAGAAAAAGAAAATAATTTGAACTCCAGAGTTGAGTAACCCACCTCTCGGTCAGGGCAGCCTAATTCAACCCAAAACCCAACATATCCCATTTTGGCTCTCTCAACACTTTTCAACTTCCCCCATTATCAACCACCACAATGTGTATGTGTGTGGAGGCAATGGGAGATTAAGCTTTGGAAGCATTCGACGGTGACATAGCTGCGTGGTTAAGGGAGGGCTAAGGTTGAGCCAACCTGACAGGATTTGGGGGCTGTCCTATGAGTCCTCTCTGTTTCAATTTTAGTCATGAGCAAAATGACAATTCAGTTTGTGTGACCATCATTAGAAGAAAAATTATGACAAAAGTGTTAATATAATTTTAAAAACTACAAAGGATACTTGTTGCAATCATTAAAACTATAAGGGATTGAAATATAATTTACCCGTAAATTGGCCTACCATAATAAGATACTTCCTGGAAAATGACATACAACCCCCCCCCCCCCCCCCCCCCCCCC